GCCCGAGGTTCGCCTGCCCGATGCTTGGAAAGAAAGGCCGGTGCTCGCTTGGGCAGCGCATATACTAAAATTCGAGCCATACGGAGAGGATTGGCATGGCTCCAGTGCAAGGATGATATGAAAATTCGTGAAGCATTATATGCTACTATTTTTTAAAAAGGCCAATATTCAACAGATCAGAGTTTGGGGCAAGGACAGATTTATTGATGAAGGAGATGGGAGGACTAATTCTCAAATCTATTTTAAGAGTGTCTGGAATCCAGGCATCTTTTATTGTTAAGGGAAAGGATGGGGTTGGGGGGGAGGGGTGAGTTGTGGGTGCTGGCCCCTTCCTTCCATAAAATGCAGAATGTTGGAAAAGTTTTTACTCTATATATTTGTCGGCAGATCCAGTAAAAATATGCATACATTCTATGCACGTCCATCAGTCTATCGAGGATAACATTTGCTTTTTTAAAGAAAACACTAGAAATAAGGTTTTGGAATAAATAACTCCTGAAGTCTCTTTGTACTCCGAGGTGTGTTTTTTTTTTTAATATATTTTTTTATTGATTATAGAGAGAAAGGAAGGGAGACGGATAGAGAGATAGAAACATCAACAAGAAGGAAACATCAATCAGCTGCCTCCTGCACACCCCTTAAAGGGGATCAAGCCCACAACCTGGGCATGTCCCCTGACCAGGAATTAACCAGTGACCTCCTGGTCCATGGGTCCACGCTCAACAACTAAGACACACCAGCCAGGCAAAAAATTTTTTTTTAATCTATTAATTCCTTACTCATTTGTTTGTCATGGGGCACTGACCTAATGCTAGTATCATTTATGGAATAGCTATTTTTATGTCTGTTACTAAGATAGTGTATATCCTCTTCCATTATATACACCATCACTGTGACTTTTGTCAGTGGAGGGGAAAAAAAAGAGGGTAAGAGGGTTCTATGGATAGTAACCTCACAGGGTGATCTTGATCATAAATTCCTAACTGGGCAGATCATGGTGGGTAGTCAGGTCCCAAGCATATAACATATATATGTACATTCTCACCCGATGATATGTTTTTATTGATTTTATTTATTTATTTATTTTATTTTTGCGGGCTAACTAGTTTATTCAAACTGTTGGACAGAGCTCCCACCATGGGAGCTGAGCCATGGGGCTGAACTGTGTGGGGATGACCAGGTATCAGAAGCTCAGCTGAGCAGCAGGAGCAGCATTGGGGCCAGGCCAAGCAGGAGAGGCCAGGCCCCATAGAGCCCAGCTCCATTCATAGTCTCAGCATAGAACCTGGCCACCTCCTCATTGGGGTTCCTTCATATACCCATCTCACACCCCCACTGTCCCCCTCTCACCCCACCCACCAGGCTCTCACCTGCGGTCCAGTTCCAGCCCTTGTGCCAGTTACCCTTGCAGGTGTAGGAGGTGCGGCAGTCTTCCCACCAGCTCTCACAGTCCTCTTTGCACAGGGGCACGTCCAGGATCCGCTCTCTGCGCCAGCTCTGGTTCACCTGGGAGATGTCAGTAGGGGAAAAGCACTCAGGCTCAGGATTCTCAGTAGCCCAGCCCTAAAGAGCCCCGAGCTGCAGAGGCAGGACGAGGAGATGTCTGGGAAGCAGGCATGGGGAGGAACTCATACCTCCTGGATCCAGGGCCCCAGGTTGGGGGAGCACTCATACAGGCAGGTGTCCTGGATGAAGTGGCGCTTGCAGGCGGGTTTCATCGGGCCGCAGTGGTCCCAGTTGAATCTGTACAGGTAGGAGACATCCTCATGGGCTTCCTGGCTGGTGTTGACAGAGCAGCAGGCGTTCTTCTTCCAGGGACCGCACTGCTCATGCAGCTTGTCCTCCGGGCTTGGCCTTTCCTTGTGGTGCTTGGCATCCATGCAGACATTGAGAAGCTCAGTCCTGGGCCCGGCTGCCCATACTTTGGCCCCCCACACCAGAAGGAGCCACAGCTGTGTTGTCATCGTTCGAGCCATATCAGTCCCTCCACATTACACCCATCTCCTGTAGAACTCGGGTATCTTGCCTGGGCCTCATAGACAGGACCTGAGCTGAGCAGCGGCTCAGTGGGTAGAGTGTCAGCCTGTGGACTGAAGGGTCCCAGGTTCAATTCCAATTAAGGGCACATACCTGGGTTGTGGGCTCAGTCCCTGGTAGAGGGTGTGCAGGAGGCAGCCCATCATTGATTCTCTCACATCATTGATGTTTCTATCTCTCCCTCTCCCTTCCTCTCTGAAATAAATAAAAAGATATTTTTAAAAAATAATTTCTTTCGGGGTCTTTTTTTTTTAAATTGGTTTTCGAGAATAGAAGGAAGGGACACAGATAAGAGAGAGAGAGAGAGAGAGAAGAGAGAGAGAGGATCCTCGATTCATTGTATCATGGTCACTCCTGACCCTTGGAAAGAACATGCCACCGTTTGATATACAAGAAGATGCTCCAACCTACTGAGCCACACAACCCAGGGTTTGGGCCTGTTTTCTTGTGCTTAACATGTTTATTAGAATTAGTGGGATTATAAGGGCAAAGCAACGATTCTTCAGTTATTGATGGATAGTTCAGCATGGCTTTCTTAGGAAAAGGTTTCCACTCCAGCTGTCTGCAGCGCTGGAAGGCCTACCTCCCAAAGCCAAAACAGGGTACTACCAATTTGTTCAATCTTCCCAATACAATACGCATAGTAAACAGGGCAGACATGTAATTTCATATTATTAATAGGTTTCTGCATTTTTTCCATAACTGTTGCTTCTTTTTCTACATGGGGAGTTGTGTTTTTGTGGTTGTTTATTTCTTTGACTTCTTTGTATTGTAGGCATTCTTTATTTAGAGATCATATTTTATTAGTAAATACTGAAAATATTTTCCCTGGTTTTGTTTATATTCAATTTGCATGTTTTGAATGTCTTTATTCTCTGGATCACATTTCACAAATGAGGCTTTTGGGGCACATACTGCTGTTGAAGGGGAACAGAATATGCCACCCTAACATATGCCTCTTTGGGGGCTGATGATTTTTGAAAGGCTGCTGGTGCTGCAGAATATCTGGAACCGGTGAGGCTGCCCTTTTGTGAAGGAGATTTACATTTATAAGGGAAATCTCCACGTGTAAGGGTGTTTCTGTATCAGGAAGAAGAGGATGACTCTGAAGCTCTAGAAACTGTTTATCAATGGAGAAGGCACCCATTGAATCTGCCTGACAATCTTTCCCTTGTTCAGTCTACTTTGCTTGGTAACCCACCATAACTGCCCCACCCCCACCATCCTTATTTTGTGTTTTGCTGAAAATTATATTTAAGGTGATGGCTTAGGCCATTTTGGGGAGAAAATCTGTTCCTGGGTCTCTTCCATGTGTATAGAAGGTGTACATGTTATTAAACTTGTTTTTCTCCTGTTAATCTGTCTTTTTATTACTGAGATGTCTCAGCTCAGATAGTAGAGGGACAATTGTATTTTCTTATACAATACTAGAGAGTAGGGTCCCTAGGCCTGGCCGACAATCAGGGCTGATGGGGCCTTCCGGCTGCTGGCCAAGGCCTTCCTTCGTTTCACGCCATCCCCTGGTGGTCAGCACACATCATAGGGAGCAATCGAACTCCTGGTCTCCCAGTCGAACTCCCAAGGGGACACTTTGCATATTAGCCTTTATGTATACTAGAGGCCCCGTGCATGAAATTCATGCATGGGGTGGGGGTGTCCCTCATTTCATCCTGCACCTTCTCCAATCTGGGACCCCTTGGGAGATGTCCTACTGCTGGCAGTCTGACATCCCTCTCACAATCCAGGACTGCTGGCTCCTACCGCTTGCCTGACTGCCTGCCTGATTTCCCCTAAACGCTTCTGCCTGCCAGCCTGATCACCCCCTAACCACTCCCCTGCAGGCTTGATTGCCCACAACTGCTCTCCCCTGCTGGCCATCTTGTGATGATGTGAGGGCGTCGCGTGAGGGTGCATAAGATGGTAGAGGGACAGTTGTATTTCCTTATACAACATACTGTAGAAGAGTAAGGATGAAAAAAAGCAAACTGAATTTGGTAAATGTGAATTTGGAGCCATCATAAATACTGTGTTTTAAGCCTGGGGCTTTCCTTAACATCTATCTCCTCATAAGTAAAAAACAAATTATAGTGATATTATTATTCTTATATACCCAATTCCAAGAATTTAGGATTGTAGGAGAGAAAAAAAAAATCCCTTCTACCATTGTAGGTTCTGTGGCTGGTCTAAGAATTAAATTGGCATAAAATAGATTTGTTGTGGGCTGTGTGAACAGCACCTGGGGTCTGACTGGTGGGGTCCGTCCAAACCTGGGTTCAGCAACCTCGGTACTTGGGTTCTGGTTGGAAAGAATTCAGAGCCAAGACCCCAGACTGTAAGAGAACATTTATTTGGTAAATCACAGAGATAGAAGTAATTCCTAGAACAAATGGGCCTAGGAAACCAATTGTGGTGGTAAAGGAAGAGCCCTTGGAGCTTGGGAGTGAGGAATGGTAACATGCCTGGGGCAGGGAGGAGGAGGGGAAAGAGCAGGGGGTGCTCTCAGGAGGGTCCTCTGTCCTAAAGGATGTAAGTGTTATCTGTAGGGAGGAAAGGTCATTGGGTCCAAACTGCTTAATCAGCATTACTCAAGGTAAGGAAAAGTCAGCCTGAGGGAAGGGCCCCACCCTACAATTGATTGTGCCTTGTTGTGGGCCTGGGGCTTTCCACCCTGGTGACCTGTACCTGGCCCTTGAAATTTCTCTGCTCTTATCTAACTGCCTACATACAACAGATTAACAAGAGACAAAATATTTTTAATTACATTCTTTTAAATGCAGGAATTTCACAAAGATTTGAGAAGTGAGACTTCTATACCATCTTGAGGTGAGGAAAGGCTAGGGGTCTGGAGCTTCTGAGGTTGTGGGAGGCAATTCACTGGAAGGTGAGAGGAAGAAATGTTTGGTAAGCAAAGGTGATCCTGTTAAACATGCAAGCCAAGCTGTCCTGAGTTCTGAGGGATTTGATGCTGGCAGGCATTTTTGGATAGTAAAAATCAGAGGCACCGGTGAACGTTTCTTAGGTATGATTAAAGAATCTTTCCCCAGAAATACTCTTACATTACCATTGCCAAGCAATGGATGCTGCACTCATACATTTAGCCCTTCTCCTATAGGACAACTGAAGATTGGCATTTTTCTGGACTATGAGTTGGGAGAGGTTTCATTTTATAATTTGAATAACAGGTCATACTTGTATGGGTTCACTGATACATTTACAGAAAAACTTATGCCTTATTTCTCCATTGCATCTTCTTCAGAATCTCTTACAATCAGTATCATCAAAATCCAATGATGAAAAACATGTAGATTTTGTATGTGCTTACAGTAGTTTCTCCCCTTGTTATTGAAAGGAATTCTTATAATAAAAATTCTGATTCGAGTTTTTTTTAATATATATTTTATTGATATTTTACAGAGAGGAAGGGAGAGGGATAGAGAGTTAGAAATATCAATGAGAGAGAAACATCGATCAGCTGCCTCCTGCACACCCCCCACTGGGGATGTGCCCGCAACCAAGGTACATGCCCTTGACTGGAATCGAACCTGGGACCCTTGAGTCCGCAGGCCGACGCTCTATCCACTGAGCCAAATGGGTCAGGGCTGATTCGAGTTTTGATGTTTGAATGTTGAAAGCTTCAAGGACTCACCCTTCTCTTCTCCCTATCCTTACACATGGGAAAGCTGATGAGAAAGTCCAGGTGCTCCACCCTTGGGTGCAGGGGACAAGTTCCAATCAAACAGGCTTCCACCAACCGCTCCCAGTAACTGCACCCTTTTCCCTGTGCTCTCAGTCATTTTGGGACCTACTCTAATACCCACCGTATTCTCCCCCAAAAACCTTATCATGTGAGTAATAAACTTTTTCATACTCTTCTGTTATGTGGTGAGTCATCATCAGTGTGACCATTTGAAACCAAGTTTGGATGGCTTCCACCCTGACTATGCAAGCTGGTCACTACCGTTGGCATTGTGAGCAGGATTTTCCAGATATGAAGCCCCCTCATCTTACTGTGTGGTAACACATCCTGGTTCCCTAGGCAAGGTGTCCTTGTAATTTGTGCTGCATTTGCTGAGTTCCATGGAAGCTGTGTTATAGATTTAACAGTTAAATCAGAATTTTCGATAAGAAACAAATTCTGTTTACTTTATTTTTCATATAATATTTTAGAAATTCTTATTGTCCTGCCTTTGTTTCATGTTTTTTTAAAAAAAATATACATTTCTTTATTGATTTCAGAGAGGAAGGGAGAAGGAGAGAGAGATGGATACATCAATGATGAGAGAGAATCATTGTTCGGCTGCCTCCTGCACACCCCCTACTGGGGATCAAGCCCGCAACCCAGGCATGTGCCCTTGGCTGGAATCAAATCTGGGACCCCTCAGTCCGCAGGCTGATGCTCTATCCACTGAGCCAAGTCGGCTAGGGCTGTTTCATGTTTTATAAAATTTTCATGTATAGGGGTGAGCAAAAGCAGGTTGACAGTAGTGATATAAATAATATAGTAGTTAATAACAATTAATAAAAAAATTTGCATACTAACAACTGTAAACCTACTTTTCTTTTAAAATCCTCATCTGATGATATGTGTATTGATATATAGAGAGAGGAATGGACAGAGAAAGTAAAAAACAGGTATGTGAGAGAGAAGCATTAATCTATTGCTTCCCCAATGTGCCATGACTGGGGATTGAACCTAAAATCTATGTGCCCTGAATGGGAATCCAATCTGCAACCTTTTTGATGTAGGAGATGACCATCCGGCCAGGGCTGTAAACCTACCTTTGGCAATCACTGTATGACCTCCAAAATAACATACTCGTTTTTGACATTTTTTATTTGCCAAACTTTTAGAATATCCTTCCGTTTGGATGCCTGTATGTGTATTGTTTACAATGTTTGGAAATAAAGTTTTACTTTGCATATCTCTGTACTGTTCGTCTATC